TGACACTACCGTTATCAATCGGAAACAATCCGTTGTAACATTTGCTCAAACAACTGAAATTACTACTTCAAAAGAAAGAAGAATAACTATTGTTGAAACCTCTGAACCTCGTCCCGTTAGTATGTTAAGAGTCACTAGACAGGTTCCTTCCACTGAAGTAACTTCTGAAACTAGAACCTTTAAAAGTCGTACCATTGTTAATTCTATGATGACAATTGACGAAAAACAAAATGTTGAGAAAATGTGGGATCAATTTCAATCTAATGGAATAAGTGCTTTATCTGATGATTTCTTGAAATTATACTTTTCTCTCGAAGAAAAGTCTCGAGCTCCAATAAATGCCACCTATGATTTAATGTTCAATGAATTTTCTAGAAAAGGTTTCAAGAGTTTTTACTTGGATTTACCCAAAGTTGTTGTTGAGAAACCTATCGATCAAACATTAGATCAAACATTAGATCAAACATTAGATCAAACATTAGATCAAACATTTGATCAAACATTTGAGCAAACATTAGATCAAACATTTGAGCAAACATTAGGTCAAAAATCAGATCCAACATTATTAGATCAAACATTAGGTCAAAAATCAGATCCAACATTATTAGATCAAACATTAAATAAAAAATCAAATCCAACATTATTAGATTCAACATTAGATAAAAAATCAAATCCAACATTATTAGTTCCAACATTAAATCCAAAATCAACCCAAGAAATAATTCTTCAAGATGGTGATTCTACCATTGATGGAATAAAAAAGAGAAATGATTCTGGAATTTCTGTTAGAGATACTGTAGTTTGGGATAATTTCTCAGAAAGTGGATTCAAAGATTCTAGAGAAGATTTAGCAGCTGTTAGATCTCCTTCAATAAAAGAATCTATATCCGATATGAGTAAAAAGGATTCAATGATAACATTCGATATTAATCAAGAAGAATCATCACGAAAATCTTTACAAAGCTCTGTGATTTCAGCAAGAAAATCTCTCAGAGAAAGCATAAAAGGCAGGAAAAAATTAGTCAAATTCCGTTCTTTAAGAAAATCAAATGGGACTCTTTCTATTGATTCACGTGTTAATGGATCGGAAAGTAGTTTTTCTGAATCTGTTCCTGAAAACGATAAAGAAGATTGGGATGATTGGGATATTATTAGTAGTGAAGATCTGCCCGTAACTACTCATCTATCAATTGAAACAGTTGATGAAATCTTTCCTTACGTTTGGATGGAAACTACGGCAAGTGATCAAGGTGATAGATGGGGTGATTGGGTTTTCATTGAACCAAGAAAAGGATTAGTACATGAATGTGAATGGGTCATGATTGAAGAAAAAGCACAAATATTCACTGAACAACAAGTTACAAGAGCATCTAGAAGAAGAAAGATGAGCGCTATAAGTTCATTTAGTATTCCATGGATTAGAGGAAAAGGGAAATCAAGACCTGCAAGCAAATATAGTGGAATAAGTGGAATCAGTGGTGCATCAAGTGTATTACCACCACCTCCAGCTTCTTTGCAAGAATTTAATCGAGCTAGAACTGATGATAATATATTTGCAGGTTACAAGTTTGGAAGACAAAAAAGTGCAACTAGAATAACGAAAACTAATACTGATGAACCAATCACGTGGAATAATGAGACGCAAACTTCTCATACTATACAGACAGAACATATTGTAGAGGAAGGATTGGGTACAATGTCATACAGAGAATATAGCCATTATGAGACAGAAGCACAATATACTCAAGGATACTTTAATGAAGAACAATATCAAGATAATTCAGAAGAAGCCTTTGAACAACCTCAATCAAATTCAACGTACCAAGATAACCAAAATGAATATCAAGAAGCATATTCGGAAGATGCCTATCAACAAGAATATACTGAAGTAGAAAATCAGGATCCGATGATTTACAATAATAATAATTATTATAATTCCACAGATGAGAACACAAGAAGTTTCTACGGTCAACCATCAATATTACAGGTACTTTATCCTACAAAATTTAATCAATCCATTAGTGGACGAGTCACACAAATCAACATATAATTTTCTTTCATGAAATTATCGTTATTATTTATATTATCACTATTATTGTTATAATAATATTATTATTATTCTACCTTTTTTTTTTTTATTTATTTACTTATTTTTTTTTTTTTTGTCAAAAAAAAAGAAAAAAAAAATTTAATATTTCTAACAGAAAAGGCCTGCCTGTTTTCAGCAGGATTTCGTTAACTATTTTAACATTCTTTTTTTTTCGTTATATATGTAATTTTATAAGATTTAACATTAAATAGATTGTAATTTACACGGTCATTAAAGAATAATGGTGTAAAAAATTATTTTCAAGATATGAGAAAATAGATCTACTTTTATCTATATCTTGTTATAAAAAAAAAAAAAAAAAAAGAGCATAAATATATCAAGTATGCAATGTTATATTAATTATAATAAAGTCGATATTTAAAATTGCAGTGCAATTTTAAGGCATAAAATTTGACACCTTTTATGTCTCACAATAAAAATCAATTATATAAGAGAAATCTTTTACTTGTTACTGTAAAAACGGACATTAACGCTAAAGATTTCGATATCGATATCGATATTGGTTGGATTAAGACCAGATTTTACAAATACCGATATGTGATCTAGACTTGCATATTGCAGATTTCTTTATTAGAGTATCTTGCTACCAGTGTTTAAATCTGATTCGATAACTTTAAAAAATAAACTACGTATGCATATAATATCGATATCAAGATTTCTACAGTATAACAGTGCTTTAAACTTTCAAAGATTATCACTCAAGACAATAATGTAATTAAACGTGTAAGTCTAAAGATACCATCACATAAGACGTCTCTAATCTCATTCAGCCTTATTTTTTGCTATTCTTTTTTCCCTAAATATGAAATAAGAAATAAGAAATAAGAAATAAGAATAGAATACATATCACTAAAATACAACATCGTATGGATCATACCTCAGTATCAATGTTCACAATCTTTTTATAAATTTCTTCAAGTTCTTTTATTGCGCCAATAACTTGTTCTTTCTTTTCGATCGATTGAAGTTGATCGTTGTTAAGCTTAGATTTATTTTGAGGATCTCGTAAAAATTCTTCGGATTTCTCGATTTTTGCCTGTTAAGGAAAATTTAAATTTTGATGATACAATACAATTTATAATGGGTCAAGAGTAAATTAATACTCACCAATCGTTTATTCAACGCTTTGATTCTTTTAGATACGAGTTCAATGCACTGCGTATATAAGCTTTTGCCAACTTCTTTGCATTTTTCCACATTTTCTACGTTAGATACATCATTAACTTGCGAATCGTTTTTTGGTGGTGGCGGCTCCAATGTTTGTGATGAAGTTTGCGAAGAAATTTGCATTTGGGAAAGTTGATCGGCAATTGGCTTAACAGTATCATCAAATGACGTATAATTAACATCATCTTCCCATCTTGATGTATTATATTCCCATTCTTCAACAATTGGTGGTAACGTTGAAGATAATAATCTTTTATCAAACACTTGCACTTGTGTTTCTGGAGTAGTAATTTGAAGATTTGCGTTAATATAATCATGGTTAACGTTTAAAGTTTTAGATCTTGTTTCATGAGTTTCCGTTTTATATGGTTCTTGATTTCGGTAATTATCATGTGATTTCAACTTTTTGTACTGATTTCGAAAGTTATTTTGTAATTTTGGTTTTTGTTGATCGTTAGTTATAAAGGCTCGTCCTGCACTGTTTTGAGAACCTTGCGTTGTTGCTACCTCTGTTCG